TCCGGCTCTTTCACTCCCGAGTGTGGAGTTTCGTGCTTGCCTTTATGTCTCCCTGAGGCGCCTTCCCCAGATTTCCGTGCGACTGGCTCTTTCGTGTCACGAGATCTCAGGCCCGTGCCCTTCTCGCGGTGAGGCCTTCCCGGCTGCCGTTGGCAAAGGCGACTTGCCCGTGACGCTTGGATTCGTTGTTTCGTTTTCTCGTTTGTTGTCTGTCTGCTCGACCAGAACGCAGCTCCCTCGAGGACGGGACCTTGTCTTTTTTATGCTCCGTCTCCGGAACCAGCACGATGCCTGGCCCATGGCCGGCATTCAGTAGGCACCTCCTGGATCCCGTGGCAAGAACTCTGCCACAGAGGCAGCAGGCCGTCCTTGCCGAGAGCCCAGGCTCCGCGGTCACGTGGGGCTGGCTTCGTACCTCGGCTGTGCTGCTTGTGCACTGTGTCGCCTCCGCCCAGCGACCTAGCATTTCTGTTCCTCAGTGCCCTTTGCAGAGTGGGAATCGTAAGTGCCAGCATGCTAGTTATGTGGGGTTTACAGGTTCACTTGCCGGATTGAGGACCCGAACAACAGTGCCTTGGAGAAGGCAGTTGGTTTCTCTTTCTTGGAAGTCGGGGCTGGGTGAGGGTTCTAGGGGCCAGACTCCTCGTGACTCCTTTCTTTCACCGTCTCTAAGGTGCCTTTGTCTCCGTGCGCTTAGACGGCTCATCTGCGAGACCTCGTTCCTGCCAAGGGGGAGGGAGGCGCAGGGAAGAAAGGCTGTGGCCCGAGAGCCGCACGTTGTGTTAATTTGCTCAGGCTGCCGCGACAAAGTCCCACAGAGTGGCCTGGACAACAGAAATTTCCTGTCTCGCGGTTCTGGAGGCTGGAAGTCAAAGATCGCGACGTTGGCAGCGTTGGTTCCTTCTGAGGGCTGTTCCAGGCCTCTCTCCCAGCTTCTGGTGGTTTCCTGGCAGTCTTTGCTTCTGCTTGGCTTGTGGCTGTGTCACCGGGGTCTTGTCTCCATCTTCACATGGTTTCCCCCTTTGTGTGGGTCTGTGTCCCAGTCTCCCCCTTTTAAAGGACACCGGTCATATTGGATTCGGGCCCACCCTGATGACTTCATTTTCATCTGATTCCCTTTGAAGACCCTGTCTCCAAACAAGGTCATATTCTGAGGTTTTAGAGGTTAGAATTCCAGCATATCTTTTTTCAGGGGGACATAATTGAACCCATAACACACACATTCCTATCGTTCTCATCCTGTTGACTGGACACAGTCACATGAGCTCATGTAGCTGCAAGGGAGTCTGGGCAGCGTGGTTTTTCACTGGGCAGTCTTGTGCACGGCAAATTTTCTATTACTGAAAAAGAAATGGAGGAGGGATTTTGGGAGACAGAAGGCAGTCTCTTCCCCAAATGACCTTACAGGGTTATTGCAGGGCTTGACATTTGGGACGGGTTAACTCTTTGTTGTGGGGACTCTTTTGTGCATTGTAGGATATTTAGCAGCACCCCTAGCCGCTACCCACCAGATGCCACCAGCGTCCCCTCTTCTTACAGTTGTGACAACCCAAAATGTCTCCTGGGGAGCAAAATTGTCGCTGGTTGAGAACCACGGGTTAGCAAGAGGGTGAAATAAGGTAATGGTCTCAGCACAGTCCTAGGCACATAGTAAATGTCCAGTAAAAGTGCTATTTTGATCTAGCAATCCCACTGGGGGGGGTATGTCCAGAGGAAACGAAATCAGTGTGTCGAAGAGATCTGCACTGCCATGTTGAGGGCGGTGCTGTTCGCAGTAGCCAAGATACAGAATCCGTCTGAGTGCCCAGCGGCAAACGAATGGGTACAGAAAGCGCGTGCATGCGTGCGTGTGTGCGTGCGTGCGTGTGTGTGTGTGTGTGTGTGTGTGTGTGATGGAATACTACTCAGCCTTGAAAAAGGAGATCCTGTAATTTTTGACAACATGGATGAACCTGGGGGACATTATGCTAAATGATGTAAGCCAGGCACAGAACACAAATACTAAACGATCTCATATGCGGAATCTGAAAAAATCGAACTCACAGATGTGGAGAGTAAAATATGCATAGTGGGGGCTGGGATTGAGATATTGGTCAAAGGATACAAAATTTCAGTCAGATTGGAGACATAAATTCAAGAGCTCTCCGGTGCAGCCGGGTGCCTGGAATTAATACAGTGATCACCCCTTACCTGCGGGGGATACATCGTTACAAGACCCCCAGTGGATGCCTGAAGTCAGGGATAGTACCGAATCCGATATATACTATGGTTTCTTTTCTTTTTTCTTTCTTTAACTGATTCCATAACAGATTATATACTGTTTTTCTCTATTTGATAACTGAGACGGCTACTAAGTGACTCATAGGTGGGTGGCGTATATAGGATGGACACCCTGGACAGAGGGATGGCTCACGAGCCGGGCAGGATGACGTGCGAGATTTCATCACGCCACGCAGAGCAGTATGCAATTTAAAACTTACGAATTGTTTATTTCTGGAATTTTTGATTTAATATTTTCAGACTGCAGTTGACTGCGGGTAACTGAAATTGCAGAAAGCGAAACCTCAGATGAAGGGGGACCCCTGTATATATTAATATTATTCTTGAAGATTGGTGAGAGAGTAGATTTTAAATGTTTTCACCACAAAAAAATGATACATATCTGAGGCAGGGCATGTTAATTAGCTTGATCTGGCTGTTCCACAATGTATACACGTATCAGACATCGTGTTTTACACTATAAATGTATACCATTTTTATTTGTCAATTAAAAAACATATTAATTAAAAAACCAAATTAAAGGCCAGGCGTGGTGGCTCACTTGTAATCCTAGCACTCTGGGGGGCTGAGGCAGGAGGATCACTTGAGTTCAGGAGGTCGAGACCAGCCTGAGCAAGAGTGAGACCCCATCTCTACTAAAAACAGAAAAATTAGCCGGGCGCAGTGGTGCGCACCTGTAGTCCCCGCTACTCGGGAGGCTGAGGCAGGAGGATCGCTTGAGCCCAGGAGTTTGAGGTTGCTGCGAGCTAGGATGACGCCACGGCACTGTAGCCCGGGCAACAGAGCACGCTGTCTCAAAAAAGAACAAAAAAATCAAAAAAAAAAAAATTAAAACTGTAATGAGACGCCATTTCACCTCCACTGGAGTGGCTGTGATAAAGAGATAAATAACAGCACACGTGGGTGAGCGTGCAGGGAAGCAGCCTCGTCTGTTACTGACGGGAACTTGTGAAAGGAACAGCCACTCTGAAAAACGGAAGTTACCTTCTTGTCCTCCTTCCAGGTCACTTCCTCTTGACAAACTTGCTGCTGGACAAGCTGAAAGCCTCGGCGCCGTCGCGGATCATCAACGTCTCGTCCTTGGCCCACGTCGCCGGGCACATAGACTTCGATGACTTGAACTGGCGGGAGAGGAAGTACAACACCAAGGCCGCCTACTGCCAGAGCAAGCTGGCCGTCGTCCTGTTCACCAGGGAGCTGAGCCGGCGGCTGCACGGTGCGGGCGTGGCGAGGCTCGGTTTCCCTCTTCTTCGCTCGGAGCCCGGAACGGCCCTTCTGTGACCCTGGCCCGGTGGAGGCCGAGCAGCGGCCCCAGGATGGAGTGGGCAGAGTGCGGCACCGCGCCAGCCCACGCCCTGGGGTGCCTGGAGCAGGCGTCACTAATCCATGATCCTTCCGGCGATTGTCCTGTAGTCCCAGGCAGCCCGCTAGTCAGGTGTCCCTCCCGGCTGACCTTGGACAGGCAGCTAAGCCTTTGGTGCTCGAGGCCACTGCCTCTCGACCTGGCGCTGGTTAGCGGCTGCAGACAGGTGCCCACAACTGGGTGGGGGAGGGGCTGCTCCGGGCATCCGGCGGGACGAGGCCAGGGTCGTGGCTCAGCCTCCCGCAGCGCACAGGACGGCCCCACGGCAGCCACGGTGCCGAGCTGAGGGACCCGCCCTGGGCCCCTGCTTCTCAGCCATGGTCTGCCAACCAGCGGCCCCGGCCTCACTTGGGAGCTGGTCACGGAGCATCTCGGATCCCACCTGGACCCGCCATTCGGACTCTCGGGGCCGGGGGTGTGTGGGACCTGGTGTCCTGGGCTCGTCAGGCCCTGCAGGAAAGCTCTGCCCCGGCAGCCAGTGACAGAGCTGCCTTGCAAGATGAGAGCACTTGCCACTGAGGTTTCAGAGAAGAGGGACCGTGTGGACTGCAGCGTAGGAAACGGCCTAGCCCGGGGCAGCCCCAGAGCCTAGCGTGGCCGCAGCGCCTTCCGGGTAAGGAGCCGTCCCCCTCATTCTTCTTTCTCCCCAGGCTCTGGCGTGACTGTCAACGCCCTGCACCCCGGCGTGGCCCGCACGGAGCTGGGCAGACACACTGGCATGCACAGCTCCGCCTTCTCCAGCTTCACGCTGGGTGAGTCCCCTCCTGGCCTGGGGTCCCCTCGAGGAACCCTCACCCTGCCCTCAGCCCGGGGCCCAGGGCTCCTCCCCAGCTGTGCTTGGGGCTTTGTTCTTGCCCCTCCCCCGTCTCCCAGGGATGGGGATGAATCGCTTCCCGTGTGCATCTGGCCTGCTGGCTGCAAACAGCCCCAGGGAACAGGCCGGAGCCCGAGTCTGAGGAGAAAACCCTGCCGTAGGGGGCGGGCGGCGGAGCTGACTCCGGGGCGGGCTGTGCTCAGGGTAGCTTGGCTTCACCCCACACTAGCTGTGCCCCAGGAAATGCCTTCACCGCTCTGAGCCTGTTTCTCCCCTGCAGAGCGAAGGACCCACCTCAGTCACTGGGAGGATGAGACGGTTCCTTTCTTAAAAGGGCCAGTACGGCACCTGGCCTGGAGTATAGGCTAAAGAAATAGGGCTTTATAACTAGTATTTATAACCCTGAAAAACGTCTAGTGTGGGTGGGTGCTAGGTGTCAAGCTGAGGCTAGTAGCGGGTACATTCAATAAGTAGAAGTTATTTTAAGGAAAGACGGGGTAGGGCTTGGGCTCTGGGCTGACCGAGAAGAGAGAGCCTCTGTTGTCCTGGGGAAAGCCAGGAAGGCTTCCTGGGGGAGGCAGCGTTCTGGCTGATCCCTGTGTCTGGAGGAATCTGCCTGGGTGGTGCCAGGGAAGGGAAGTGCGGCTGAGGGAGCCACAGGGCAGCCCTGGGGGGGGCAGGGCTTTCGTGTCCTCTCTGAGCTGGGGACCGATGCTCTGTGGGCTGATCGCAGGGCCTATCTTCTGGCTGCTGGTCAAGAGCCCCCAGCTGGCGGCCCAGCCCAGCACGTACCTGGCCGTGGCAGAGGAATTGGAGGGCGTTTCTGGAAAGTACTTCGATGGACTCAAAGAGAAGGCTCCGGCGCCTGAGGCCGAGGATGACGAGGTGGCCCAGAGGCTGTGGGCTGAAAGTGCCCGCCTGGTGGGCTTGGAGGTGTCTCATGGGTCCTCTGTGAAGGCACAGTCCCTCCCCAGGTAGCCACCCGGGAGGCTGGGTCTCCAGGATGAGCGGACAAGGACCACTGGCTGCCACGCCCACAGCATCCTCCAGGGGGCAGTGTTGGGCCTCATCTCTCCGCTTCTGCGCTGTGCTGGGCCGCAGGTGGGCGCCGACCCAGGGCCTGGCTGGTACCACGTGCCCGCTGCCCACAGGCCAGCGCGGCCATCACCAGCCTCCCTTGGGAATCTGAACTGGGAACGGCCAGGAGGAGTCGGCGCCCTCTGGTTGTGGGCAGTGTCTGACAGGCAGGTGGGGTTCGTGGTTCCCTGTGGGACCCTGTCCTCTCTGAGCCTGGGCCTGTCCAGCTGTGGGGTGCTCAGTGACCACTCACAGGATGGCGTGGTGATCAGCGGGCTGTGGCCTGGCTGGTGAATGGCCGCTGCGCGTGCCTTGCCGGCGAGTGTGCCACAGCCCGCCAGCTGCTGGTGACACGCAGGACAGGCCCACACGGACCCTGCCTGCTACCGCGGAGTTCACGCTCCCAACCGCATGGAGTGAAAACCCCACCAGCTGCTGCTGCTGGGGACCTGGGATCGCCTGGGCTGACGACCTTCCCTTCAAATCCTGCGGTAATTTAAGCTGCAGGCTCTCAAACTTGCTCCTTAATAATAATAATAAAAACTCAACAAACCTAGCTGAGTTACAGGTTTTATTTTTTTCTCCGTATGTGAAGAAATGCCAGTGATCTGAGCAAAGACAACTGTGGGCCAGGCGCAGTGGCTCATGCCGGCGATCCTAGCACTCTGGGAGGCCGGTGGGGGCGGGGCGTGGATTGCTTGAAGTCAGGAGTTCAAGACCAGCCTGAGCAATGCCCGTCTCTACAAAAAGTAGAAACATTAGCTGGGTGTGGTGGCGTGTGCTGTAGCCCAGCTACTCGGGAGACTGAGGCAGGAGAATTGTTTGAACCCAGGAGGACTCTCAACTCCTCAGCTTGTAGGAACAGAGCCAGGAAGTGTGAAAACCTGTTCCTGGCTACAAAGGCTGGACCTTTAGTGTTGCTTTCAAGTCGAGCCTTTCAGTGGTGAAGAAAAGCACACGATATCCCAGCCCCACGATGACCACACCCATGCGATTGCTCAAGTGCCGTCCCAATTCTGAAACCCGCCCGTGGGGGTTATCCCGGGGCAGTGCACGTCTGTGCACGTGTGTGCGGGTACCGGGGACCACACACAGCTGAAGAGCCTGAACACGTGCCCCGAACTGTAAACATCAAATGTCCCAACTGCCCCGAGTCCAGTTCTCGGGAGTCCGGGCCGATGGACAGCGCCCACCCTGAGGAGAAAGAGCAGGTGAGAGCACGGGACCCTCGATCCCAGGCTGGCCCCAGCCTCAGCAGCGTCCACCCCGCCCAAGCCTACGACCACGCCCTGCCTGCCGTGGGGTCTCCGTCACCGCACTCTCCCATCCTCGCTCAGCTCAGCAGCAGCTCAAGGCTTAGGTGAGGCTGTGCTGAGGCCCTGGGAAAGTCTCTGTCCTGCCCGGCGCCTCACCCGCTCGGTGTCTGGGGTCTGAGCCGTAGCGGAAACTCACCAGGGTCCATCTCGCTGCCGGAACCGGCGGCGTCCGCGGCCAGCAGGAGGCACCGGCCATCTGCAGCCGAAGCAGTTGCAGGTCTTCGCGATGCCCTGACTTCATCTCCCCCCGGAGCTGCGGTTACC